TTCCCTTTCTGAGCACTCCTTTCAAGACAAGGCTTGGAGAAGGGAAGACCAGGAACTTCACACTGAGGCAGCCAGTCCTCAGGACTTGCTGGAGATCTGCTCTCCATGACAGTGGCAGGCATGCAGAAGAGAAGGCTGAAGATGTGCAGTTTCTTACCTGGGCTTTCTCCCCGTGAGCCTCATGTACAGGTCGTAGAGCATGGCCGGAGCCTTGTGGCTGACAGTCACCCAGTACTGGTTTATCAAGTAGTTGGATGTCAAGTGAGCGTTGGGTGCTCGGAAGGCCTGCTCCAGTGGGTTCCTTTTGAAGGTGGATATGACATACTGCTCTGTAAAGGAACAGGCATTTTACTTCAAATCCAGAACTGAATTTCTGCAGTAAAGCCCACGTTGTGGTGCTGAGCACAGTTAACCTACAGTTCTACCAACTATGTCACTGAGGGTTGGACAAGATCATCGCATGGTCCCTTCTAGCATTAAAACTGATTACTCCACCTATTAGCTATTTGAAACACAATCTGACTCAACTTACTAGTGGCAGATATAAACTTCCTTACCAAAGCACCACACTGCAATTGAGCAAAAGCAGGCACTTGTAACCTGAGACACTTCAGACCAAAGGAACTGCAGTTCTGATTTCACCTGCAGTAGATTTAGGAGAGATGAGTGTTACCGTATCTTCAGATCACTGAAATCAAACTTTGGTCTGCTAGCATAAAACAAAAATGACACTTCTAATTTCTAACCACATTTTCTAAAGGGCTGATGTCAATATTGGTCTGAGTCAGGGCAGGTGATTTACACACTTAGGGTGCTGCTTCTAGAAAGACTTCATTATATCCTTTCAAACCACATCTGACCTGCAACACCAAATACTTCAGCCTGTTCTGAGAGGAGCTCTGGATGCACTGAAGCAGCAAACTGTCATTCTACTCTTAACATCAAAACTAATGACGGGGTGGAAAACTTTCATTTACTTTGTAAGTTAAGGCACAAAATAATGCTGAGCCTGATTAGGAGCTCTTGCAATGGCACAGTGGCATCAGAAGTGGCATCTACATGTGCGTATCTGGGGCATTTCCATATTGCAGAGGCTTAATAGAACTGCAATAGTTGAATATAAGACTATCATCCATAAAACAGATGGTGCTCTTATTCCTGAGCACAAGTGAATTCAACAAAGAAATGTGGGCTTTTTTGTACGTTTTTTAAAAGTGAATTTGAGAATTGTAACATCAACCTGTGCTCATGTAATAGTTTACTCTCTAAGCTTATAAGATAAGAATTTCCAAGTCACAAGAAACATCCAGATCATCCTCAGATAAGCAGATTCCAAGCATAATATTCAGACAGTCCTCTTACGTGTCTGTGGTCAGCTCATTACTGCACTAAAGTGCAGTGACTAGTGACTTTTACTTTTGCTGTTCTTGTTCTAAGTAAAAGCAGGAAACTTGCCAGCCACTTTGTTGCTAAGTTTAGACAATAAAGACTTTTAAAACAGTACAATTTAGTTTCAGTACAAATTCACCATTCATTGTTGTGTCCCCTACGCTGCAAGTTTCAGGGCTGAAGACCAGTCCTCCTGAAACTCATCTTGCAGCTGAATTAGCTAGAACTGACTGCCATCCCTTCTGCTTCACACAGCAATGATGTGCTTACCTTGTGGTCATCCTGTGGGCTGCGGTGTGGAAATATTACCCTTTCCAGCATGTTCTCTCAAATAACTCCTATTTAAGCAAACTCCTATTTAAGCAAACTCCTATTATAGCAAAAAAAACTCCTATTTGAACTTTCCCCTGTAGTTGTACCTGGCAGGGAGGGCACACTGGAATGGTTTTTTACTGAGGATTTGGAAAAGTGTTTATTCCTGAGAATAAACTCCAGTGTTTACTGGTTAGGAAGGTTTCCCTTTGGAAACATGTTAAAGACATTAATGGCTTTTTTTTTTTTTTTTTAATTTGTGCATTTTTGGCACCTTTGGCCAGGTTAGCAAGAAAGAACTAATCAGTCAGTGGAAAGTGCAGCCCTTGTCATTTCAGATCATTGACCATAAACCAGATCCACACAAATCAGCCACGTACTTATCTTTCTTACTTAAGGCCTGTAGCAGAAAATGCAGCTGCAGTAAAGCAGCATGAGGCTGTGATATTGGTGTGAGAAGCATGTATGTCAAGAGCAGATGAGAGACTTGCTGAAAACTCAAGAAAGAAAGTCAGGAATGAAAGCAGTTTTGTTCTAAAATGCACATAAAAACGCAGTGAGACTAACTTGAAAGATTTACTGGAAGTCAGGGCAACACCAGTGCTGCAGAACTTGGAACAGTTAATGCTATGGGCTTTTTCTTTATGAACCAACCTTACCCTGGCTGGCACCGTCTCAGCTCAACTGCTCTCTCCTGATTTCTGGAAAGTGTTCAACTTTTCAAGCTTAGCAGATCTGTCATGCTCTAACAGTTTGTGTTTTGGTGAGAGAGAGAGGAAACATCAGACAGACAGAGGGGTCAGGCAGAGAACCCTGAACCAAACCACATCACGTCTAGAAGCTACTGAAATGACTTACTGGGTGGGTGGCCTTTCCCCTTCAACCACAGCACAAAAGTGCAGAAGCAAATTCTACATCTCAAAGACAGATTTATCATGGGGAGAATGAGACACCAGCCTCACCTAGAAAGATTATCAAGGCTACATTGAAATTAAATTTTCCCATGCTGATCACTATTTTAAGGTTTAGCTTTGAGCAGAAATTGCACAGTGTATCTCACAAAGTCAAATTAGCAAGATTTGCATTGCAGCCAAGCAGAAAATACTACTTCAGATTAATACTCAGTTGTCTGATGACATTTGGTAACAGCAGGAAAAATAATAACAGCAATGGAAAACAGTAAGAAGAAACTCCCATGGCATAGCCTTGTTTGGAAAATAAATAAACCAGTAAAGTTCCTTTTCACACTAGAAGTCTGTATGTATCTGGAGATTGGTAGAATAAACTGATCTGAAATGGATGTTCAAGCACAAACTCTTAACTAGACTTACATATTTTTCAAATAATTCTCTTCTAGAATCTTTCTTCTCCTTCTCTCTAAGCTCACCTATGTACTCAAAATGTCTCCATCTCAGTAATGTCTTTTCCCCACCCAGGGCACCCTCAGTCCACTCCTGTCTCAATTTCTCTGATCTTTCCCTTCCTTCCTCCTCCCCCCCCAAAAATAAATTGGTAGAAAACTGGACTGAGAATTCAGACTGGATGGTTGCAGTCATAACATCCTAATGCAATAAACATCTTGGAAGGTAATTTCTTAAACCATGCAACATTTTTATGGGCAAAGTTTTGCTCTTCAATACTCCATCCTAATTCCTTTCTGTGAATCTGTACCTAATACCCTTCAGGAGCCTGAGGGTCTCAGGAAAACTATGGATATAACATGTAGCAGAAAGAGCTTCACAGCCTTACCCAAGGCTAAAATGTTGCTTTTGGTCCTTTGCTTATGCAAGATTCTGCTGCACTTACATATTTCATTGCTAAATCCATGGTTATGAGCAATGTAACAGAATAAGATCAGCTACAATGCAGTAACAGTGCTGTTTTCATCATAAAAATTACACTGAAAATGGATTAAGAAAGGCAAAGCTCAGGCAGCAGTGCTACAGTGGCTGTTGCCTAAAGAAGAGCTTTGCATTTGCTCCTGTGAAAGAGCCACAGAACATCTGAGTTTACGCATGCTGAAGATTGGCTACATTTTCCAACAACTACCTATGAAGTCTCACCTCTTCTCTCAGTCTGTGACAAACTACAGCATTAGAACTCTCATTCAGAAAAACGTCAGGAACTTGGTGGGATTTTCAGGTGGCTCAGCCAACTGCCAAAAGCTCTTCCCTGCTAAATCACTTGATCAAATCTCATGGTAGGACATCAGTAGGATTTTCAGACAAGCCTTGTTCTCCAAAAGCAATTACAGCCTGATTCTCTGCTGACTTACAGTTTTCCAATTAAATAATGCAGAGACAAATACAAAGCCAAGGCTGAGAGGTGAAACAGCACAGTAGTGATTTGCAAGCATCCTGTATTTAAAGCACAAAGATATGAATTGATGTGTAACAGCAAGTGAATCAGGCCCCATACATCTGCCCAAGAATGTACTGATGGGACGTAGCATTTGTGCTGCTCAGTTTGAGTAACAGTATTTTACTGAATGGTATAAGGATTTGTCTCCCTCTCTTTCACCCCAGCCTCAGAAGCACCTCCACTTGAAGAAAAGTCAGCTGCAAAAATAATTTCAATTCTTCCACTGACAAAATTCATGATCAAAAGGCAATTTTGAAGCACACCTGCCATGGCCAAGGTTTGCCTTCTCAAGGCTACACCAATGATTTCTATTCAGTTTTCTTCACAGAAAGAGGAAGAAAGGCTACGCTGATTCCATAATATACTAGTTTTAATTTGCTCTTCAGGTTCTCCAAGTGCACAAAAAAACCCCAAATTGAAAACCAGAGGCAGAAAAGGTTCTCCTTCAGAAAAGGAAGACTGCCCTGTTACAGCTACACAGAGCATTTTCTCATGGAATTAAGTCAACATCTGGTTCTCCATTCCTTTTTCCATCACTTTATTACCCCATTGCAGCAAACCACGTACTTTGCTGGGTTGTTCTGTGATTACACCCACAATAAAACCTGAATAAATGCTTTCCTGAGCTGAATGCCCAGCCCCAGGAGCTTTGGCTCACAGCATCCTCACTGACTGCCTTTGAGCCTCTCACGTGCAGTTTGAATGGCAGCTGCTGAATGCCACCTAAAACCAGGAAAACCACCTTTTCAAAGCCTGGCTGATGAATGCTGTTGATGTTTGACAGGTTCTAGGTTTAAATTAGACCTTACCCATTTCTCCCCAGAAGAAAGGGTTGATTCCACCTGTTGTGCAGTTGCACACCAACAAGTTTTTTGGTCTGGAAAAGAGAAAGAAGTATTATTTTAAGGTGTGAGTAAAAGAACTCAAAGCTTTATTAGTAGAAGAGAAAGAAAGCTAACAGCCCAAGAAACAGTAACATCAGCTCATAAAAAAAAATGCAAAAGAGGTCATTTTTCATAAATATGAAAAAATCAAATAAAAAATGATGTTTTAGTAAGATTCAGTCAGATTTTGGAGAACATATGAAGTTAATCAAGACAGATGGGATTTAAGAAAGATAACCTATATATCATGTATCAAAAACTATAAAAACAATAAGGAAAGCATGCATACTGACAAATTTAATACTTTCTTTTAGCATACTGTAAATAATTGGCCCAAACCAACCTCAGGGACACACTGTGTATCTTGTAATAATTTACGTAATAGGATTTGTGTTGCTTTTAAACTTCATTTGTCAGGGTGGTGATTACAAATCAATCCCTTTCAACAAAGTTCTCATTTTAATACCACATAAAGCTTGGTTGTTACTTGTGCATTGGAACTAAACATAGATCATAATGATTTTATGTCTTCTGTTGATATATAAGGCAAGAATTTGCCAAGCAGCTTGTCTGATCTAAGCCTGCTTTGCCAAGGGTGGAAGTGAAATACAGCATTTTTTTTTACTCTGCATTAGCAGCTGGAGACATCTGCCAAAATGCTAGAAGAAGTGAGCTCTGGCCCTGATCAGAGTATAGCAGCCTGGCTGGAGGATACAGCACCTCAGAGCTCCTGAGGTGCCTGTGGTCCTCACAGCCTTTCTCCACTGGAGGAGGCTGTCTGGGAGGAACTTTTCACAACTTCTGTGTCTGTAGAGGCCAGGAGATAGAACAACTTGACACAACACCAACAGCCTGTGGACACTGCACAGTTTTAATGGTGGGTTTTTTTCAGAATGCTTTGAAATGATGGCACTATGTTATCATTATTACTAATCCCTAGCAGACTTCTAGTGATTGTTAGGACTAATAGACAGGTGTCAAGCACTGCATCCATTATCTCCTGTAACTCTGAGTAGAAGGCTGATGGAGTGTCAAATATAAAAACACACAACAGTGCCTCATGTGGGAATCTGCATGATGGAAATAAAGCTGAATCTGTACTAGGTGCCCACAGAGAAAACTCACCTAGTGCTGAGTGACACACACAGCCTGTAGCAAAATGCACCTGAAGTGAAAGCACACACTCCCACTTACACCAGTGGCTCCAGCCCATTAAACACCACCAAAGAGGATTTGTCTACTTTCCCATCTTCCAACGAAAAGTCTCTCCCTATTGATTTTTTTTTTTCTACTCTCCACCCATCAAACATTGGTGGAGTGTAGAGCTTTGTAAAGCTTCTACACTATGTAACGAAGACTGCAATTCTCTGCTGTTTTAGAATCTAATTTCCCTCAGTAATGTCACCTGCCCTGAAGGATACTGACTTTCTAATGAGATGATTTGGAAAAAAAAATTAAATTATACCACACATGCTGTTCTTCCAGACAGCACCTAAGTGCAAAACTCTCTCCCTGAAATTAAATTTACAGAATGCTCAGGCTCTTATTTTTTTGTTTACAGATTGCTAACCCTGGGGTTGTGCCCAGCTAGACAAAGCTCTAAATCAAGTTCTGCAATTGCTCCTTTAGCCTCATAATTATTTGTGTGGGAACCAGATGAGATGCATGTATCTTTCACCAATGAAAAATTAGAAAAAATGGGACTTCTCAATCACAGCCAGAGTCAGGAAGTCGATCTACGTGCTGAGATACAGCTCATCAGCACGTGTTCATCTCCTTTTTCCAGTTCTATGGAGAGCCTGTAGCTCTCTTCACTGGGAGGCTCTCAGGGGGCTGTGTCTAAGGCTGTATTTATTCTTCCTTCAAAGGGGAATAAAAAATGAGAAAAACAAATCTGAAGAGCTGGTGAGGTGCTTTTATAGATCCCTGTATTTAGGTAACTGCAGCTCTTCTCTACTCTCAGCTCAGAGGGCTTACTCTGTCTTTCAAAGTAAATTAGTTCTGCCTTCTATTTGGCTGGTATTGATTTCTCAGAGTCACATAAACCTCCAGAATAATTCATGTGGTTTACTCTGTAGCACCTCCTACCTAATGATGAAGGGTCAGAGCCAGAGGTTCACAGGCAAAGATCTTAAAACTTTAGTGTCACTTTAGTGTCACTCTTCTCAACAACACAAAGAATGGATGCTTTTTTTAGATCATCTCCCCTACTGTATCACCCCATAACGTATTTATATTGTGCAGTGTTTTCCAAGGAAAACACACAGAGCATTTTCACCCAGAAAGCTCTAGAGGCCACTTGAAAAGCAACTCTGTGTAGCTGCCTGAGAAAAGAGGGTAAAAAAAAAATCTGCAGTACATGTCTTGGACTTCAGAAAAGTGACTTTTGAGGGAGAAAGACTTGTCAGTGGAGCTGATGTTGTACTGAGAAACAGGTTTCACCTATAGCTTTAGAGATTTCCTAATTTTAAGGCCTGGTTTATTGATTCTGCTACAAACCTAGTCCTTGCCAACCCAGGGAAGAAAACACGAACCAGAAAATTAATCAAAAGGGCTGTTGCACAAGTTTTTCAGCCAGCTCCTGGTTCTCTTTAAAGCACTGGCGCAGGCAGCAAACGCCCCAGTTGGGCAGAAAAGAGGAGTGCCTTCCCACCTGTGCACAGCTGTGTACCACCCAGCTGCCAGGGTGAAGTTGATGGCCACGTCTACCGGGATCATGTCGGCCACCGCTTCGTTGTTGGCAATGACGCTCCGCAGGATCCCCTTGCCTGCCTGCGGGACGGGGAAACAAACAACAGCAGTGAGACTTCCTCAGCTCGGTGTGAGGACAGAGCACTGGGGCAGCACTTTCTCCAGCCTGGCAGCTGCTCTAGAAGATGATTTGGTTTCGGTAAAAACAAACGTGGCTCTCACGTGGATGCCCCTCTCCTGTGTTTTGAGAGGCAGCCTGGAACGCGGTGCCAGGCTGTGCTGTCTGTGGCGGGAAACGCTGCGGTGCCTCCCTGACTCCGTGTGACACACTGTAGAAAATAAGGACTTGACTTCAGAACAATTCCCAGTGGTACCTGGGGTTCCATCTGCTTAAATGACACAGGCAGACAGAGGTCTAAGCGTCCCTCAGAAGACAATAGTCACTTTGGAAATTACACTGGAAATTACACCAATAGGCTTTTTGAGAAGTTTACTCCCTTTCCTTTGGAAGTGTTCACACCCTCCTCCTGTCCAAAGCTGTGTCCTTTAACAAGAAAGATACAGATTCAGGAAATTAATGAGTGAAAATACAAAGTGCTGACAGCTAAAGAGAAAAGGCAGGCAAGAACAGCAAGATTTTTGTTTTGCTTTGGTTGGAAGTGTGTTTATCAGGGCGTCAGGTCTCCAAAATAAATACATTTAACCTGAATTCATATCAAGGGCTTCCCCCAATAACCTCCACATGAGTCTTTCAAGCTTCCACAGGAGACATGTGGCTGGAGGACACCTGCGTGATCAGATGGCTCCGATGTGACAGACTGAATCAGACAGGACAATTCAGCAATACAAGAAAGGTGGAGGTGAAATGGGGTGAAGAAGCTTAACCTAGTGTGTCAGGTCTGAGGGCTGAACAGAACAAATTAAAAAGAACCCCCCAAGGGCAGAATCAAGGTTACAATCAAGTCCTCTAGCATGTGGGAAATAAAATGCAATGGATTTGAGTTTCATGTAGAAGCTGAGGACCCAGTGAAAAAGCTGGAAGGATAAACGTGCTAGTGAAAAAAGGAAGTAAGAAAGCTCATATAATTTAGATCCATGGAAAGCCAGAGAGAAGGAATAAGTGAAGGGGCAAAGGAACATGCTCTACAGACCCACAAATACTTTAAAGTCAAAGGGCAAAGGAAATGTTACAGCATTTTATATTTTTTTTTCTTCCAACCTAAGAATCCCATTTCATGATGAAATAGCTCTCCAGCTGTTAAAGATTAATTTTTCCTACCACAATTAGACAGGAAGTGCCTAGTTGTGCGAAAACTCACGCCTGACATCTGGGGGGAAGAAAGATGTGATGTAAAAAGCATTTAGGACTTGATATTAACTTATGAAGTGCATGCCACTCTCTACTGGTCACTGGCAGATTTTAAGGGCCACTACGTTCCATGGTTGGGAGGACTTAACTCTGGATTATTTTGTTCCCTTTCTCGAATCAGATGGCTTTGTTACGCTTCACAGCTTGCAAATAAGGGAATAACACTGATGACTGATTTAAGTTTCATGAGCTGAGACTCCTGAGTGGTCTTAGGATCCCAGCATCGCATCCTTGGTGCAGGTGGCAGAGGGATCATAGAGGGACAAGCTCAGCCACACACACCATGTAAGCTTCTCCACAGGACTCCATCCTCCTCAAACCCAGGGCATGTAATTAACTTCTGCTGCCCTAAGCTAAATCTCAGCTGAACCATAGTCATTCTTAGACATTGAAACTTTGACTTGCAACACCACAATGATATTTTTTTATGTGGTTTCTACTACTGCTTTTTCAAGTGGAAAATAGCAAAAAGAAACAAATCAGGAAATCAAGGTTAGCTATGAATTTTCCACTGCTGACAACAAATTCCCACTAAAGATCACTGTATTAGCAACTATCACATAGACACACTAAAAACCTCTTTAAGGTCTTCAAAACTAGGGAGTTTGATGGATGTGCTGCAAATACACCTGTATTCAGAGCAGCATGTGACCATCAAACACACATGGATGAATGAGACATTTCATATATTGTGTATTAAACAAAGACTTGGGTGTCAGTGGTTTAAGTTACTTCTTACATTGGAAGTGGTTTGGTACAGCTTTATTGGGTTTGGCTTTATTTCCACTTAGAGTTGCTGGCTTCTCTCTCTTCAGTGAAACAGAAGCTGCTGTAGCTGAAGCCAACAAAATAATTTTCTGGTCTGAGTCTAATGTTTCTGGACAGCCTTCCAGCTGAAGTGCTTTGGGGCCAGTCACTGCCCAGAAGATGAATTAAACCACAGTTCTGCCCTACAGCTCCACTGCCTTGCAGTGTACATGTAATATGGAACAGTGAGACAAAATGCCTCAATTAAGGTCTAGCAGAAGTACAATTAATTTCCCTTTTCAATCAACAAAGCTTCTCCCCACAGCAGCTGGATAAACTCTAGGCAAAACAAACATAATTAGACTATCAAGAGCAACTTGAACTCCTGTCTTTCACAAAGATTTAATGGAAATACATCTATTTGAGGAATTAAATCAATTATAAGATTCAAATATTGTAATGCTGACTGATGAAAAAACCACAACTTTGCAATGTTTGGAGTTCTGATTCTGATCAGGTGATCCCAAAGATCAACTGAACCAAACCTGAACCTGGGGATTGTTCTCCACGTAGGATAAGCTTCCATTAGAAGTGGTAAAGGAATATTTTAGTATGGGGACACACACACACTTAAAAAAAAACCCCAACAAATCAAACACAAAACCACTTCCCTTTTGCTTTTTCAATCCTTAATTAAGGCTAATAAAACTTCTTGACTAATACATCCACTTGGAATGGCTGCCACGGCTGGTTTGAGTCACACAACTTCCAGCCAGGTAATCAAACTAACATAAAGGGTAAGTCTCAAACTATCACACAGGATTTACCAATTCACCATATCCAATATATTAATTCAGAACACACATATTTCCCTCCCCCCACCCTAGAAGACCAACAGTCTCTTGTGATGCCCAAGAATAAATAATTTTCACAACCTCATCTCTACATGCATTGTCATTGCTCTTTGCCTTTTTTTCACCCTATAATCACAAAGTCTTTGCTTTCTATGGAGTTAAACTGGAGATGAAGAAACAGGCTGGCCTCTGCATGTGACACCTGACCTGAGTGAAACCATTAGGTAGGCTGTTGCATTCAGCAGGGCTAGATTTTTTTCTTTCATTATTATGATTTTTTGCTTTGAAGTGTAGAAAATACAAGTTACTGGTTTAAGTATATAAAACACATGCAAGCTGTAATGTAAGATCCTAAAGCAAACCCAATGAAAAGAAAACTCATACATGGGCAATATTCCCAAATACTTAACCATTAGGTATTTTTTACTTGTTGGTAGATTAAAACTACCAGAGCTATTTCATCATGAAATGGGATTCTCAGGTTGGAAGAAAATAAAAAGAAAGAGGGGGAAAAATGCTTTTTAAAATGCAAAAAGTTAAACTGACATGTTTTTACCTGGCTTAAAGCATATGAATTTGGCCTGTGTTTCATAATGCACCACCATACAACACAGGCATGGCAATGAGCTGCTGTGATCTGTTACTTGTGTAATTCACTTGCAGGGAATAAAGAGCAATATAATGGCAATTTTTGTATAACATCCTCCTTGCAAACCTATTCTGGCCAACTTCTTTGACAAACATTTTAATGGTCAAAAGTAGCCATAAAAAACCCAATCAAAACTAACAGGCATCATTACAAAAGTTAGAATCTGTCACATAAAAGTCTAAGGAGTGGATCTGTGAAAATAAGGAACCATAAAACCTTTCTTTATTGTGATGACAAGAAATAGTCATGAAAGAACACAGAAGAAAGCACAGGTCCTGGGAGTGGAGCAGACAGGCAGTACAAGCTTTAAGTCAGCATCAAAGAAAAGCCTCATTGATAATTATTTTAAAGAAACTGTGACATAAATAGGAGCTAATAACACTTTGTGACCACAAATGGTGCATCAATGGTGACCTGGAAAATTCAGCTCCAAGACTCAAGCTTTGACATCTGTGAATTACCCTAGTTTCAAGTATGTATCTTTTGTCCTTCCTTTGAACATCTAGCAAAATTTGTCCAAAAGTCTAGGGGTTTTATAATTTTTAGAAACTGCAGTTCATGTTTAGTGCCTACTCTTTCAGTGCAGCATAAATGGACAGTTTTCTGGGTCCTACAAGGCATATAGATGTACAGCAAGCATGTGACATCCTTCTACCAGATTCAGAAAATTGCTATGACCCTTTTTTTTTTTCCTTTGAACATCTAGCAAAATTTGTCCACTGTGGAGGAACTTTAGGGTTGCTATTTTATTACCTCTCACTCCACTTTCAGGGGACCTTAAAGAATAACGAGACATACCGCAACAAATATTCCACTTGTCCCGTTGAAGCTGTCAATCCAACCCTGCAAAAAAGAAGAACAATTACTATTCCTTTCAATGACATGTTGCTTAGACAGGCTTTGAAATGGTGACGGGGCTATAATGCTGTGGTGCAGACAAAGAAGCAAGGAGAAACCAGTTCAGACGGATGCCAGCCTACCTGGGCCAGCTGCCAGGAAGCTAACCAGTATGAAGTACCTAACTGATTCTCAACAGGCATCATGTGATACCTCATTCTGTCTGCAATTTACCCATTAGCAACAGAGCCTAATTTTGTTTTTAGAAACCACTTATTTCCTATAGTAACTTGGCTACAGGAATAAACTCTTGACTTTAAACACAGCAGTGTCTTGGTGCTGTCATGTTTGCTGAAAGCAGTGTTATACATCCTCTGACTTAGAGCATGCAGATGTCACCAAGACCCATTTGGTTACCCCAGTGAGCTTCTAAGGCAAGGAAGGAAAATTAATTAAAAACCCAAAAACAACACCACCAAAACACAAACCAAACAATTCCACTTTTGAATCCCATCCTACTTCAGGTCAGGGAAACTGCCACCTGTGGTAGATAGAGTTAAGAGCAGTGGTGAGCTGTCTGACCCAAACATGTTATGTCACCTAATAGAGTTTGCTCTGTCTTGCCAAGACGGGGAGGTTGGCACAAAGCCTCAGACATGTTTGGCATCCTTCAAGAAGCAGGAAAGCCAGAGGTGACTATGTTGCCTTTCCAATTTGGCTACAATTTTAGGGTACATTACTCCTACCTGCATATTTAGCTTAGTGAATTATTTTGGTTCAAAAGTACAGCTGTAATTTAATTACTGTGTGGATGACACTTGTATCTGCAACAGGCCCATACAAGTGTGAATCCAGTGAATTCAGCAACTATCACCATAAGACAGAGATACCAGGTAACTGCACATGACACGATCAAATGCTTTCAAGGACCATGTGAGGTCTAGTGTGCCCATCAGGACCTTATTAACAGGCTGACCAGACCCCAGAAAGACTAATACCAGAATGCATCAGGACTGTGACTGACCCTCAGATGTTGCCCCAGCTAGTACAGAAACTCCTCTGTGTGTCTGTCTGGACATGATCCTCTGTGTGCAAGACTGTCAGTTGCAAGTCCAGCATTCTGCACCCTGTACTTGTCATTAATGCTCTAATGTGTTCTTTTCACTCAGAGACAAGACTTTCCTCAGAAGATGCTGAAGCAGGCTTGCTGTTCTACTCTAGGACGTCCTCCACCTCTTCCACACACTTAGATATGAACTGGAGTACCTGTTTCTCAAGTGGACACTAAGCAGGGAGAGATTCCTGGCAGTACTGCAGCTACTGCAGCTGCATCAATGTGCTCAGGGTAGGGAATTGCTGTGTATAAAGGCTTACAGGGAAAGGCTCATGCCAGCTAGCTCCCACGATGGATGGCCTGATGATAGCAATGTTCAAGTTTCCTTTCTCTTGCTGAATCAGGTATTCTGACAAGGCTTTGGTGTAGGTGTAAGTGTTGGGCCAGTCCCCAAGCAACTTCGGTGTGATGTCTTGAATGATAGATTCATCCAACCACCTACAGAAAACAAGGAGAGTGTCATTATCTGCCATGCACAGAGAGAAAAGACTGAGGCGAAAATTACCAGGGAGACAGGAATCCTCACCTGAAACAAAAGATGAGCAAGTCAAAGCCATTTAAGACAAAACAAGAAGCAACTGGTTTGGATTTAGAACAGCTCTGTGGAGAAAGGTTACTTTTGTCTTCAAAGTACAAAATAATACTGGTGAGCTTCATGCTATTCATTGTATCATTATAATCTCCTTTTAAAGCAAACTCTTGTGTGCTTTATGCTTCACTACAGTCTGTAACGTAAACACAGTCATGGTCTTCAGATTGATGGAGCTTTCCAACCCAGCACTCTCACTAGTTATTGCTTATGCTCAGCCAACACAGTCCCTGAACACTCCCAAGCAGCTTTCAGGAGATTCTTGGTAACCTTAAGTTCCTGAATGGAGTAGCTTTACAAAGGTACTCAAAGCTGGAACATGCTACAGGGGTATTATTCCATTAGTGCAATTTACAGTGTTAGATGTTCCTTTGTACTTTTTTTTCCATGAGCTTGTTCACATAGGAAATTAGGACCTTAGGAAACCTTAAGGACCTTAGGAACTTAGGAAGCCTTAAGGACCTTAGGTTCTTGGTAACCTTAAGTTCCTGAATGGAGCAGCTTTACAAAGGTGCTCAAAGCTGGAACATGCTACAGGGATATTATTCCATTCGTACCATTTACAGTGTTAGATGTTCCTTCCTACTTTTTTTTCCATGAGCTTGTTCACATAGGAAATTAGGATTAGAAACCTTCTGCAGTGCTAGCTGCTTAAAAACAAAACAACCAGGCAAAAATAATAAAAAATTATTATTATTATTATTTTGTAAGGTGTTCAAGTATCTAATCCATCAGAAGTAGTTATGCATATACCTTTTAAAAAGTGGATCTTACCACTGGGGCGCTGCAGCGAGGGCTTAAAGCTCAAAGGCTCTTCCCTGGCACACCACCAACACTCCACTGGTCCTGCCAGCAGCTGGGACTGGCTGTACTTCCAGAGCCCTTGCACACTGCTGCCAATCCCTGACAGGCTTTCAGTAGCCTGGTGTTACACCACAGAATCAAAGATTAACTCCTATAATCCAATTTGTAATTAAGTCAATGGACTTATAGTTCAGACTGAACAGGTACTTCCTAGGGGCACTGCCAGGATATGGTTTCCTGTGGATCCTTGCTTCACCCCTCTTTGTCTTGAAATTCAGGAACAGGTGGAGGTCAAGGGGAGAAGAATAAGGTGGAGAATTACTTGATTGTATCAACTTAAATATGCAAACTCCTGATGGCTGAGGTGGCAGTCATGCTTCTCAGATGACTCTCTAGACACAAATGGAAACACTACAGGAAAAAGTGTCTGCAGTTAATCTCTCAGTTTTGCAATGAGTTAAAAAAATAATCTGACCGTTTTTATTTTTAAAAGCTCATTTCTGTGTACTTAAAAAAAACCCCTTAGGCAAAAATACTTTCCTTTGCAAGCCTAATTCCCATGCTCCAGAAACAAGGCAGAAAAATTGTTTAAGCATAAAATAAGAAGCTGAAATCCACAGAGGCCATAAGCAGCACACAATACTGATTTCATTTACAAAGCCTGTTTAGGCAGCCACTGAACCCAGCCTCCACAAGGTCTCAGCTTAATTGCCATTGTTTGAACCTGTTGAGTAATTAACTACCAAGCTACCAAAAGGAGATCTCTGTTTCTGCAGAGCCTGGGAGAAGACTAGGTTCATTTAGGAACTAAGCTGCATGCAAGTTTCTTTTACCTCTTCCTCTCTTTTTTTTTGTTTTTTTAATAATAGGCATTATAGGTTATTATATGCTAATAGGTTAGCATTTGTCACAAAGCAAAGACAGGTGTAGAAGTACAAGGAGAAGCAATTTTCCCTTTTCCCTTTCAGACTGGCCTCTGCATTACTTCAAGTGGTGACCAAGAGTACTATATGCTCTTGCCTGTCTCAAGGGTACCATCCTACCAGGTGATCTGATCTACCAGCATTACCATGACAGGAGTGCTGAGCTGATAGTTCAGCGAGGTGACCTGTTCCTATTCCTCTGTGACCTACTTTGAAGGTTTCAAAATGCTAAATCACAAAGCTACTGCTTTTGCTCACTGCTGCAGTTGCCTCATAGAAACAAGAGATGCAAATTAAACACCACATCCACGCACCAAATTACTCTTACCATAGGAAAACAGAACTGTGTTAATCACTTTGCATTAATCAGACAAATTGATGTTTCCTGCAAGAACAGAAACAGTTCCACTTCAGCCCACACTTCACTGTGTGCTGTGTTCTTTACCTCAGCACACCCTTCAAAGCTGATTTCCTTCAGCTTTAGATTAAGGCAAACCTTGCTTGATGTGGCAGATTATATCTTTCCTCTATTGGCCCGGCAGGGCTTAAAAGTTCTACTTTTGCTTTGCACAGATTAAGCCTGAGGCTTTACTTGCAGGTTAAAGATCAAAATACTGGAAAGCAGAGATATAATAGGAGAATAAGTACAGAAAAATGAACAGCTGGGAGTCCTACTTGGGATTTCAACTGAGTAAAGAATTGCAAGCATATATCAAGTGCATGACCAAAAGCAGCATTAAATGAATCTGTTTTTGCATCCAGTTTTGTGCTCATGCCTCTTAATGCACTTGCAGAAGGGCACTTTAAGACAAGGGCTGTTTGCAAAGGGAAGCTTTCAAAGCTGCCTGATGAAAAACCTGACCTGTATTTCTTCCCCCCTGTTTGAAGAGAGTTATTTCCTTGTCTTCTTGTTATTCCTCCCCCCCTTTTTGAAGGTAACATTTTGATATCTGTGAGATCTTCTTTGAAACCTTCTGCACCCAGATATCCATGTTATTTCTTCCACTTACATGGTGAATAATAAAAGGTGTGTCTCTGCCATCTCCTTCCAACTCTGCTTTGACTTCTTGCTCTTTCCCAAAGTCATCTTCCACTCTTCACAGTCTTCTCTATCTCAGTCTGTTTGCATCACATGCTAACATCCCAGAGACTTTCCCCATCCTGCACACTCTGCAGACTGATGCATCTCCCTGATATATCACCTTTGATTTGCAGAACACTTTCCAACTCAATGACCCTGGAGACAGTGATTTTCAACAAGGCCCACCTGATTTCAATGCCTTTGAAAGCAGTGGTTGTCTTTGCTATGAGCAATCAGAACCCTACCTGCAAACACTAAAGAAACAGCTGCCACCCTGGCTGAGGGCACGTTGGGATTTCTGTCTCACTGAAATTATCAGGTGGTGAACTTCTGGAGTGTGGGATGTAGGAAAAACAGTAAAACAAAACCCAGTAAAACAAATTGGAAAATCTAGCAAAAAGGCAAGAAGACCTTTCCCTAATTATGTGTCTAAGAAACACCAACCAATCTTACTACTAAGATAAAAATATCAAAGAACACATCTGACAGTACATCCTCTGTCACTTAACCTTTCTTTCAAACATCATCCTCTCTGCTGCACATATGAACTATGAGGTTGGAAGGGACCTCGAAAGATCACCTCATACAACTGGAATACCACTAGACAATAAGTGAAAACAAAGTTACAGCTGTGGGAAAATTCTTCCAAGCAGATTTCCTGTGTCATTTATGAGCAGATTTTGCCATCCTTTCTAATTACTAATTTTGGTAAATTCAATTAAATGAGCTTTTTTGTTGTTCTCTCAAAGGCCTGAATTCTCATACTGAACTCTTTCCAAAACAGCCTGTTTCTCACTCATTCTCATATAACTCTGTTTTAATACCACAGCATTGTTGAAATATGTGGAAACAGCATTGGGAAGCTGAAAAGAGGAAGAAATGCATATGAGGTATGTGAAAAATTTCATTTCTTGCTAAGGTTGCAAGAGAATTGAATCTTAGAGACAACACAACTCCCTTCCTGCTTAACTTACTCCATGCTGGACCCTCATGAAATTACACAGTCTTTTTAAAAATGGTGTCTGAAAAAAATGTAGAGATAGCTGAAATCACAGGGTTATTAAGTGTGGTTTATGCTGTTTTTTAATACTTCTGGTTTTTGGAAAAGTATTGCTAAGCTCAACAAAATGTTTATGAAGTGTGACTCCAGCAGCTCTGCAGGTAAAAAGGCTCCAAAACAGACTCTATTCCTTTTTCAAAAAACCTCAGTAAAGCCACTTTCAAGAGCAAACCCAGGCAGGTCAGCCTGTGGATGGATGACATTCTGTGTACGGTGCCCCTCAGAAACTCCTAGAATGAAAGTTCTCTCTTCCCTGGGTCTCACTCTCAAGGCCAGTGTTTCTTGTGTGTGCAGAAAAGGCCACACAACAACAACAACAGCAGCTCTGAAACAGGAATCCCACTGGACAGGTTATGTTAACCCTGTGGAGGTCTCCTGCAAAGTCAGAAGAAGTGATGCAGTTCCTACTCACTCTACTAAATCGAAGAGCTTCTTGGGCTCAGCCGGGGGTGGGTAGATGACTTCATCTATGCACTTCCTGACACAGTTTGCATAGGCAGTGGAGATGTGGACGAAGGCCTCCAGGTTCTGCATCTGCTGGGCCAGCTCCAGAAGCCGCTGCGTGCCCATCACGTTCAGCTGGACGGCTTGTCTAGAGAGGGCAGGGGAAAGAAACAAAAGGCATTTCACTGGAAAGAATGTATCAGAGCCGAGCATTATTCAACCCCCAAATAATGGAAAGACAAATCAGGGAAGAGAAGGGGGTCACAGGAGAGTGGAATGCTTCAATGAAATGCAAGGGCTAAAACAGCTTTCAGTGCAATGCTGTTGGATCCACTGTTCTGGCTACAGAATGTGTCTCAAATACCTTTACACCAATCAAAGCATCAGAGATGACATTTAACTGAAATCTCTAAATCTGACAAATTTAACACCCCCTTCTGGAGCCAATGTTTCCAATACACACAACCACTGGGGCATTATGGTTCCTATGGTCCCCATTCAACTTTCTTGTTAAGGGACCACTGCTAAACCAGAGAAACATGGTTTCTGTAGGCAGCCAAAGGCCCTTGGGCCCAGAAAAACAGTTTCATACTGAAAGAAGACACAATTAGAGATAACAGCTTAAAGAAGGAATGGAGAAGAGAACCAACAAGCATAAGAGAAAAAGAGTCCTGGTTAGTAAGGTTGACCTTGAAGCATAGCTAGAAGTTGTCCTAGAGACAAGCTGCACTGGATCTCAGTAAGCACATTTTTTGGCATCCTTTGTACTGGATGGAAGACACTTTCCTGGACAGAAGGGAAAAGGAATGCAATCTGCTCAGCCCAGGAGTAGAAGCTTTCAACAACGTGTTCAAGTTTATGAATGATGTTATCAAGTAGAGTGTACACTACAGAAATGAGTACACCAACGTTGAAGAGAAACTGTAAATAGTCCAGATGGAATGGAAACAGAAGCTAGAAGTATGATTAATGTTTGGATCATGATATCTAAAGTCAGAGATACATTTTTTTTTAGCATGCTGCTAAAAAAGAATAGCATTTTCTATGAATTTCTACTTCCACCTGCCCCTTCTAGCAGGATGAATGCTTCTACTTTTGTTTCCCTTAATATGAAAGTTGCTCTTCCACATACATTTCTATCCAATTGTATCCCTCCTGACAGGGGGTGAACAACATTGAGCTCAGAATATGGGCCCAGCATGGATTTCTGCTGACATATTCAGAATTCTTTTAGCTTTCTAGGGAAGTATCATCTAACCCCAGGGATCTGCTACTCTTTATTTTGCCTATTTATATTAAAACTGCATCTACCAATATTTCAATATAGCACAGTTTCTCAGATTTCTGTCCTCGAGGGTTCTATCTGAAGAATTCCCTAAATGTACTGCATGTTGGTGCCAGTAATGAATTTAGTTTTTCTGCTGTTGCTTTTCTAGCATCTTGACAGCACTGCTTTTGCACCTCCCTTATCTATCAGCTCTTCATATTCTGGAGTGGGCTTTGGGCTTCTGCTATGCCTAAAAATATTCTTATTTTTTGTGCTGTTAGCAAATTACTGCTCAGAACTTTCATTTGAGTTGCAGTGCTGTGCTTTCACATTTAATTTTCTAGAACTTCTGCCCACATGATATATTTTGTTACTCAGAGAAGAATAATTTGACTTTAACAACTTCTTGTATATTGCTGTTTAATCATCCTGGATTTTCCTTGTTCTGTTAGAGATTTTGACAGATCACATGCAGCCAGCCTTTAAATAGTTTCCACACTGTCTGCAAGAAGATAATGATTTTTTCTTTTAGCTTCTTTCTTTAAAAAACTAGTTTCCTTTGGATGTTACATGCCACTGTGACATATTTTTATAGCATGTTCATTCGTGTATTGATTTAAGAACATTTATAGCTGTTCATGTCATGCTGTGCTACTTGTGCCTTGAGTCAGGTGCAACACATGGCTCAAGATTAAATCAAGAGCTGGGACTTTTCTGGTGTGTTCTCTAATTAGTTGTTGCAAAAAGCAATCATTTACGGTGGACACAGTGGATATCTATTTAGCCTATGTATGATCAAATGAAGAGTGACACTAATAATTGTTTGCTACTCTCACAGCTTCAGTGTTTTCCAAAGAGCTGTGAAGATCTAGCAATCTGGATCATCCACCTCGGTGTGTTGACCTTTGCAATTTGCCTAAAAGCACTGATTTCCACATCTAATCTTGGTTTAGTGGCTTATTGCTGCTCTTCTTTCTTAATTGAAAGTCTGTCTGGACACACACTCACAAGGGAGCTCCTTCAGAGACTGTAAACAGATAATTACATTGAGAGTTGGGAATTTTAAAGCTTATGTTAGGCTGTTTTCTTAAACAGTATCTCATTTCCCTCTTCAGTTAGAGTGTCAAAGAAAGGCCATTAAAACTGGCTGTAGAGACAGACACAACACAGTTTCACTTCAAGCTGTCTCCAGCTAGTTCTGCCAAACCATCTCCCTCTTGACCTAAACCACATTTTTCCCCAGCCCAATTTCAGGCCATACTTAACTCACTTCCTATACTGCAACCCGAGCTTGCAGTACTTCCTTCTGTTCCCAGGGCAACCTGCCAAGATACTTCACTTCTGATGTGCATATGCACATGACATTTCCAGAGCACTCACAGTGCATGTTCAGCACAGAACCACGTGTAACACGAAAACATAAATGGAGAGTTAGTAGCACAGCTATGCAAGGATGCACTGAGTGGTGTGTTAGGGGCTGTTGTGCATCCTGGATCATGCTTAGCAAACACAGAAAGGAGGAGGACATACTTCAGGGGTTCATCAAAACGAACTGTTGCTGCACAGTGGAAGATAATATTGACCCGGGCCAGAAGCTCCTCCTCATCTTCAGCACTGATGGCCAGCTTGGGCTGAGTGAGTTCAGCATTAATTGGCTTAATCTTCTCGTGGAAATTAGGGCAATCTTCTCGGACCCTGTCAAAGACCTTGAAGCACAAACAGAGAGAGATCAGGTACAGAATTAGGCTACTGAGATCACTTTGATTAGTAGCCAGTCTGGCTGTATCAGTGAATGAAACTGGCATAAAAGAGAATGCCTGTTTCTTTCAGAGGTGAGATGGTAAAACTGTTATTTCATTTGTTCCCTCCCATGGGAAAACCTCCCAGGGGAAACAGAACAAAAATACAGGAGATAATGCATTGTCCTGAAGAGATGAGTGAATCTTAAGCTGCACCACCCATTTTCTGGGACAGCCATGGAAATTCCTGTGGTTTCCTATCTCCCAAAACCACACTCTAGGGCTGCTCGCAGGACCATAGCAGGAGCTAAAGAGGAGGGCTGAGTATGGAGTGGGAAAATCTGGGAAGCACTGGACTCACTTATCTTGATGGTTCTACAATGAACTTGAGGAGAGGAGGGAAGCAGGGCACACTCTGGTTCCTCCCCTTCCTTATGCTGCTCTTGGTCTACTGTCACTCTTTGTTCAGGTCCGATGAGTCTTGTGGGGAATGCTTTTGGGATGGAAAGATAGGGAACCTCAGCAACCCATACTGCTAAATCTGCTGACTGCTAGCAGCAATTTTGCATGACTGGACAATTGCTGAGCTAGTTGTCCTCTTAAGCTGTCTTCTGGATCTCTTTTTAATATGACTATGATCTGTAGCTCTTTGCAATACACATTTTCTGCCCAGTCTTCTGCAGAATGGCAAGACTGTGTATCTGTTCACTAAAAGGATCCCTACTTTTCCATAGATTGTTCTGATGACTTGTTCAAAACCAGTATATGGCACTGTGTTTTGCCTAAGATCTGAGACAGCAGGTACCCTAAACAGCAAGACAATGCTGTTCAGACCTTCTGAAAGGAAAAGGAATTAAATACTGTCATCATGTGAGAATTGCCTGTGTGAAAACAGCAGTTTCCACAGTTGTCATTTTTCCTCTGTGAGTAGCTCAGAGTCACTGCTAACAGCACAGAAGGTCTGGGTGCAGGTCTGCCTGTGACCTGGAAGCAAATGGGTCCACCTGGAGACCTTTTATTTGGCAAATCTCACAGACAAAGAAGCAGCTTGAATTTCAAAACACTACAGGATGTTGCTGGAGTAGGATGGGGTTCAAAAAAATCATCCTGAGTTTAGAGGTGTCTGTTCTAAGGGCCAGCATTATTGTATTTGAGCAAATAATAGTAACAGTGAAGTTCAAAAAGCTCCTTCCTTTTAGGGGCAGACTGACAACAACAAGGGTAGAGAGAATAAACAGAACAGAAAGGTTGTGGGATCTGAATAGGTGCAATCTAGATGTCAAAGGATAACCACACTTCAAAGGCAACTAGCCTTTTGACAGGAGTGACTAATCATAGAATCATTTTTGTTGGAAAAACCCTTAAAGATCATCAAGTCCAATGGTTAAAGCACTGGGGCAGATTGCTGGTGGGTGCTGTGGGCCTCTGGATGCATTTAAGAGGTGTCTAAATAAGCACTTCCAGGAAAGGCAAGGAAAAGCTGAACCCACCTTGGGGGCGAAGGAAGGGCCAGCTTGCTTCTCAGTAGCTCTATTTTTGGTTGTTTCCTCTACTCTGTAGCTTACTCATCAGTAACACCAAGTTTGCAAATCTCTTTACTATCACGGCCTCTTTTCTAGAGATTGTTTCATTTTTTATTTGCCCACTGCTTATGTATGAGCAGAAATTGTGTGACAGAAATTAAATTTACTAAAAGAAAAACACATATGAAAGAGTAAATTGATACTAATAGCAGTATTTTCTTTTTTTAAAAAAGGGATTACTGTCTTTCTGCTTATCTGGCAACCTCATAGATAAACCAAAATGTTCTCAGGGATTAAAAAGTGCTAAGAAAATTGTTAACCTTCCCCACTAAGCAGGACACTTCCTATTTGACTTCACGTATTTAACACACAGTGGCAGATCCTTCACAAACCTGAAACTTGAGCAAGATTAACAGAAGTTAGGACTTGATAATGTAATTTCATTTCTCTCAGCTGCACCCAACTACCTGGGTATTTCAGCAATGTAGTCGAGGCCAGAGAGTAGATGTCTAGACAGAGAAAGCTAGTAGTGAGAAAAGATGTTGGAGGGAACTGGCTGGATCACAGGAACCCAATTCCTAACAGCCTAAGTCCAGAACTGGGTACTAGCAGCATTAGTGTCTGAAAAATCTTGTCTTCTAACAAGAGGATGCTAGAGTGGCTGCTCAAATAGGCATCATCTCATGAGAGACCACACAGGAGCAAACCCTGACAAGGCACAAAGTGGAAAGGTTTCTCAGAGAACCCATGTCAGACCAAAACTATCTTTCAAGAGTTTTAGGAACGATTCTGCATTTTTTTTTTTTGTTTTATTGCAAAGAGAGTGCAAAACTTCACCCAAATGAGACTTATTTTACACTTGGTTTGTTTTGGCACAATTAATGCAAAGACAGAGAAAGAATGAATCAGCCCTTTCTCTGGTCTTCCTTTATATATATGGTATATAAAAGAGTAGTATTTCTGCAGTTCCAGCCTTGCTTGATTCTGTGCAGTTTTATTCTGCCAAAGTGCCATCTCTGCCTGACATTCCCACCACAGAAAATATCCCCTTCAGTTTCTGCGCAGTTTTCTGCAAGGTATTCCCTACTACCACGTGCCACTCCACAGCTGTAGTTTTTCAAGCCTCCAGTGATTCACTGCACTTCTCCAAAGAGCAAAGGCAATTTCTAAATGCAAGCTCACAAATCAGCATCCTGCTTTGGAAACCTTCTGGATCATAAGAACACTCAGTTCATTGCCAGCATGAAATCAGATAGCAGGAGCAGCTGTTTAATCCATGTCTGCTACCTCCTTTATGGCACCCAAAGATCTCACACTTGTCAGTGTTTTACAGGAAACTGCAACAAGATTTAAAGACAAAACAAAGGCAGCTTATTCAATGCTGTTTCCTACAGCTCAAGGAGTGCTTTAAAATAAAGATGATGCTTAGACTGCAGGTAAACAATAACTGCATCTCTAAATTCTCATGAACTCAGAGCAGAAGTAATAAATCCCCCAAGCTGCAAAGGCCTAAGGATTGTTCTGTCTTTTCTTTTTAGAACCTGCCAATACAAAATACACTGAAAGGACAGAAGTGGGCTGGCATGCTGTACAGTTGGAGCCACATGAGAACAATGGCCATGCCATCAGTACTCCAGAAGTGATATATTAATTACTATGGAATTATAGTGAAGAGACAGGAAAGATGTTTGATTTCAAGTTGATCAACTGTGTCTAATATTAATTAAACTGAGGGAAATCAGTAATAATGTATCCAGCTTTCAGAGTCTTTTTTGAACATCCTAATGCATCCCATGGCAACACTGCTGCCTTGACCAAGACAGAACAAATGAACCTATTGTTCTCATTTTAAGTCTCAAAATAGGATTAAAGTTCTGCATTGGCTGCTCTGCCCCTTGACAGAGGTGAGAATTTCACTCCAAAATGTGGTGACTTTTGCTTATTATTCTGCAATTTCCACTCTTAATAGTAATCTAATCTCTGACAATTTAGTGTCAAGCACTTATTATGGAAACAGGACTATCTAGAAATTCTCCCAGGATTATATTTGAGTGTGTTTGATGGGCATCTCTTGCAGCAATTGGATAAAGGCTCAAGAGTCACAGAAAAAAACCCAACAAAACAGCAAAAAAGGAAAGTGAAAAAAGCCACATGCCAGGGCCTCCAGGAGGAGATAAGGGACCTTTACATCTCATTCCCTATTCCTGCCCACTTAAGCTTGGACCTCCCTTCCTAAAGGACATCTGTATCCCCTTGTGTCCTCTGCTCCTGCCTTAAAGCATGTAATAGTTCAGAGAGAATTCTGCCCATCAACCTTTCCATCAGAAATTTTTCCATACCACAAAGACATAAAAACCTCAAAGAAAAGGCAAACTGCACAGCTTAAAAATAAAGGAACTGATGAACAATATATAATGGCAAAGGCTTCACTTCTACCTCATGAGATGTCTTCAGTGGAGAAAACACAAAATAATAGAGAGTGCCTAAGCTATAGCCTACTTTAAAAAGGAACTTGCACAAATTTGGTAAGACCTGTGTCTCATACTAATTTTCAGAGAGGCCTGGGTAGTTATTTTTTTGGATGCATCAGCTCTCACCTCTAAAAAAACCCAACTGACTGTAAGAGATGCTACGCAGGATGGCACTTCCTGGAGAAATGTAGGGAGGAGAGAAAGCAGTTCTCCAGTTTGCTTGGTGATGTTATCCAACACTATTTCTTGTGCTCTCCCCTGATCTGCAAGGTTCATTTTCCAAAGTGCAGAATAAACATGTCCCAGCAATGCAAGCAGTGGTGAAGGTGGGATCCTGCTCTTCAGCCTGTTATCAGTGGAGTCTGTAACTCACTGTGGCCTTTCTGCAACAAGCTGCCTCTTCAGTGATAGCACTCTCTGCTCTGCCAGATCAGGGCCAAACACTTTGGTGAAGGACCCAGAAAGCATTAAGTTTTTTAAGTGGCCTATAAAAATAGCCTTTTTTCTTCCAATGATCAATCAAAGCACCCAAATTTATTTTAACCAGGTGTTGCCAGCCTTTTCTTTTTTTTTAAAGACCAATAAAAAATGGTAAAGTAGGGCCAAGTGTATTTAATGGGCACTGGGATATTAAGCTTCTCTAGCAGGATTAGCAAAAGATGGTAACTTATATTATAGTATGAACATTTCAAGGCATTACTGTATGAGAACATTTAAAACTGAGAAGTCAGAGAATTCCCACAAAATGCATCTGATATATGAGGAAATATTGAGAAGATAAAGGTTAAGAGAATTCAATTAAAGGAGAAAAAAGGCAAAACAGCTGCTGTCCTTCAGGTGAAGAAACAGAAGGGGTTGCTTGGCATAATTCAGGAGAGTATAAGCAGGAATTGCTTCTGTAAAGGAAATATATTTTATCTTAAACAAGTCAGAGGCCAAGGGGTATAACGTTTTGGCAACGAATCCTTTAAAG